ATTTGCACTCATTGTGTCTACTTTTATTGTTCAATTTAGATGTGTGGTTTTGTTTCTTGTTCAGAATTTTTTAATTGTTATTTTTAGCTTTGATTTCAAGCTATTGTTTTGTGATTTGTTGAACTAAAGGCAGTAACTCTTCTTTAAACATATTTTAGGGAAATATTCCTGAGAGATCCAATAATTTTGAGTCTTTTTATGATTTTTTCAGCTGAGTTAACTTTAACAGATTATTTAAAAGTCATTAAAGTGACAACAGGATTTCATGATAAAGCTGGCACAGTTTATTTTTATTTTTTAATCTTCATTGATAAAACAAATACATTAGTTTTTTAATACATAAAATGCTTTAAAAAAAATCGTTTCCATCCTCCCGGTCTACCGGGATCGGGTTTCGGCCTTCATGAGCACGCAAGAGGGGACTCTTGCTCGCTCTGAATTTTGTCGTCGGCCATCAAGCACAAAAAAACGCCTGCACTTCAGCATTAGACCACGGTGTTGTCATCATTGTTTTTAAAATACTAAAAGTCGCTCCTCGAGTTCGAACACCGATAATTGCAAATGGCGGATCGAGTGTTAAGAAAATTTTTCTGTCCCAGTGACTCCACCCTCTGACCAATCAGTGACCGACAGTGTTCTGACGTCACGTTTTGGTGCTGGCTTGGCCCGCTTGGAACCACATCTTAAAGGGTTCTGAAAAAAGGGAACAGTTGTTCATACCATTACTAGTGGAAAAGCTTTGGAACCGTGCTGAGTCGAGTCGGACCGTGCTGTGCCTTTACTAATAGAAAAGCAGCATTAATCTTGTCTTTACTTGTAAATAGCACATTTTAAAATGAAATGTCCTTCCAGAAATAATGTGCCGTGCAATAAGAAATACTGTATAAAAATTACATCCTGGATATGTGCACAAAATGAAAATCATTGACCAGTGGAAACACTTACTAAACCGTATCCATCTGCAACAGTTATCACGTCCCAAACATTGATTCACCTTTTCTCTCCACAGCTGGTGCCTAATGTGGCCAATTCAATAACATAGCACATTGGCAAAAATCAAAAATGGCACTAAATCAGCTGTGCAGTTGTACAAAAAGTGTAATAGGCTGTGAATGGACTCGTAATCATACCTGACACTGCCACCAAATCAGATGAATGTGATCTAGTCATTCTGTCACTGCAATCTTTCCCCTCAAAAGCATGTATGCCACTGTTGCCTCCCACACGGGGATGCTTCAAAAACATTAGGGCTTTGAAAATCCAGATGGAGAGGGGGAGTGATGCAACATCGGTTTAAGCCATGACCTGGAACTAATTCTGCACATTAGCTTGATTTCACTGGCCTTGTGGATTGTACCACCACAATATACTTTGTAGAAAAACCTACTATTAAGGATGATTGCGCCATACCTTTGGAACATTCAATTCTCCTTTGCTGAATTCACACCTGTTATGTCTATCACAATGTTGTTTCAGAAAGCCCCTCTCACAAGTATTCAACCATTTTCCTCCATCAGATATAAGAAAACCTACACTGTGTCAACTCAGAGATCCAATCTGTTCCCATAAAAACCTATGGGAAATGTGATCTCATTGATGGGCATGACGTGCACCCTACACATATATATATATATATTTCTTTCTGCAAGAGACAAGACAAGGCGTAGGATTACATTGCTCCCTGGTGATTTAGCTTTTTAGTGGTGTCCCTGACTCAAAGAGGCAATGCTCAATGACCTGTTCTCCACAGCTACAACACACAAACCGACATTAAATCTCCTTGCTAACAAAAGTCCTTGCGCATCAATCAATCTTGATTCTCCTGCCCTGATTCCATCATTATTTAAGTGTCATACTGCACCACCTTTCCTCGTTTTCCACCTCCTTTTTCTTACTAATTTTCCAAGCTACTTTTCTCCATCTCTACATGCCTTTGCCACTTGTCTTCATTTCCTCAAAGTCATGTGGGTGAATGCACCTCTATCAAGATCAGTGATGACTATTAACTAACAACAGATGTGTTTTTTGGCAATGTGTGTGCAGGTCATTTCACCATTTGTTTACCTGCATCATTAAATGTATACACCAAATATACAAAATGAGCTGTAACAGTGCACACCCAATTCTTTTTCCCCCTGCTTTTTGGAGTCCTAAAGCAACGTCTCCATCTCCTCTGAATGACTAAGACAGATCAGGCTCCAAGCATCCTCCACACACCCCCACCCCAGCCCATCTATCTTGGTTTCCCCTTTGAACTGTTTCTTTTCCTCTAGCCATGCACAGTCCACACAGAAACATGCAAATGCCTCAACAATGATGAACCTGTTTTTATTCTAGTGGAAGTAAGGTCTTTCTCCTCATTTCTTTGCTTGCTTTGCTTTCCAGTTAGCCAGGTAAATATCGAGTTTTAAAGTACTCAGAGGTCTCTGAAGGTTAGCGATGTTTAGATAGAAAGTTAATCTGTACTGCTGCTCTGCAGCAGATCCCTGAAAGGGCTGCTCAAAAATTATGATTCATGAGAGCACAGCTGCCTATCCTCCTGTTAAGTCAATAAATCATAAAATCTTTCACACCCGTGTTTCCTAAGCTGGCAAAGATAAGGTTAATGACCTTTGGGACTGAGGTTATCTAAGTAGAGCAGGTAAGGATGCATGCTAAAGCTATCAAGATTAAAGTTACTCATCTTACAGCTAATTTTTCACTTTAGGCTTGGCCAAGAGAAAAAGGTTAGGCTCGGTAATGTTAGATATTTTTTTTACAAGTTGCATTTTTACAAGCTGTGAAGTTCTGCTTAAATTTTACTTAACTTTAATTTACTTCGATGCATAATATTCCTTTGTCCAGTGCTGAACATGTTTTAGTAAGGATTCATTCAAATCCTAAAATAATTATTAATAAAATAAAATAAAATAAAAGCAGTCACTGGTTAAGAGAATGCATTGTTTAATGACAAACGCTACTTTAATTGTTACCTTGATAATAAGGGTGAACCTCTGATACAGGTCCCTGCTAATTGGCTTCAGAACACGAACCTCTGCAGTGGTCCTGTTCAGGGTGAAATACTCTGGATATGTGGCTGGTTGCCCTGCAATGAACAATTGTCAGTTTACTGGAACATCAGCATAAGAGGAAACATTAAGAGCACAAGCCATGGCATACTAAGTGGTCAAAGAGGACCAAAGAGCATAACACGTATTACTCAGGGTACATATGTGAGGAACGTACCAACCAGGATGAAATAGAGAATCCCCGGTCTGTCTGATGGGGGCTGTATATTTCTGTCCATGTCCACTGCCTGGATAGGTGGGGTCACATTCAGCGGGTTCAGTTTGTTCTGATTAAAACATTAAAAGGAAGGGAGAAAAAAAAAATACTGTGAACAAATCAGATGCCAAGCCATGTTTTCTGTTTCTGTAGTTAATATCATAATACTGTATTGTCATGAAAATAACTTTTATACTGGTATAGTTGGATAATAAGTCCCCTGGTATGTAAAATTCTGCTTAAAAATACATCTGCTGCCCCAGAAAACAGTTTCCATGTGATATATTGATATTTTTGCCTGCTGCAAATCTCATGTGATGAGCTGTACATTATTTAGAAGTCTGCGCCTCCACATGAAAAACAAGATCTCTTGAGGGGCTGATCGGCCTCTCTACTCAGTCTATTAGGCTATTTTCTTCTTTTACAAGCGATGAGAGGTGCTGCAGTGATTGGGTGTCACCCCAGCTTCATGTGTTGATAATATAACTGACCTATGGTGGATTATAGTTCATGTGCCGTTATTTTCCATTTCAAAATTGTATTTCTCTGCTTTCCGAAACTCAAAAAATTTAAACTTTTTTTTTCTTCTTTCTCATGACATTTGGAGATAAGAGCTCATACAAATGGTGGTGCATCAAAATGCTGAGTTTCCAAACTTCTAACATTTTAAACAATTATGATCCTCATTTATTCTTTGTATTACAAATATTAGTATTTGCCTTAGCAGTAAAAAGCCTCAGCAGACTGTCATAATACATGGGCTTATAGTAAAAAGACATTTTCTCATCAATAGGTTCCAAATAATGATGCAGATCAAGGATATGTTTATAATGCTTTCGACTTCTTCCCCTGCTCATGCATACTCATGAGATCATATTACCCCTGCTTTTCTTCAACACTTTTGCACCATATGATTAAGAAGAAATATGCTTAGCACATCCGGTGTAAGAATTTCTGTCTCTGTACAAAATGGTGCTATATGTTTTATATAGTCTGTGCAAAGAGTCCTGTGATGAACCTCTTTAGCGTAGACAGATGCGTGGCTAACAGCTCCCTGGTAGAGGGATTCTTCCCTGAGGGAGCATATTTATATCCCTCAGCTCCAAAATAATCCTTACACCCCTCCCCAATCAATGCTCTTGCTTTTACAATGTAGGTGTACTAAATCAAATCCCTCTAGCTCTGCACAATGATGATTAGCAATAATACCCTCCTCCAGCAGTCATTATCCAGGGGACTCCATAGCCCACGCTACATCCCCCAAGGGTGGAAAATAAATAGGGATCAACTTAATAATGCCTGCCTAGCCATTGTGATTAATTATAATACATTCATCAATTATGGGAAGACAAATCTCCCAGTGGACAGACATGTTAGCATAATGGTTACACAGAAAAATGAAGAGGGAACAGCAAAAACCGAATGCAAACTGCAAAGATGATGATGGTCAAGTCAAGTGCCACAAAACTCATAAAAACACGCTGTCAAGGGTGAGTTTAAAAGAATAATAGTCATTTGGGAGAAAATGATTTAAAGATTTCATTTATATGGTGACACGTAAAGTTCACTGTAGGGAAAATGTAAATGTGCCAACACATGGCAGGTTGATCAAAATATACTTATAGGTCTGCTTATACTTGAAGTGCTAGCATTCTTTGAAGAAATGCATATCACACAGCACATTCCTTGTCAGAGATTTAAACTACAATCATCTTATATGGAGGGTTGTAGCCATTTTGACCCAAGTGTCAAAATGCTATCATGCACAAGCTCATACTCAGAGTATGGGTTGTGAATGACTTAATGTCAACTTTTAGTCCAAAGTATCACATTGTCTGATTCATAGCCATTGTGTGGGGACTAATATAGTTGTGGCCATCCTAAATTAAATTGACTATAAAAGAAAATCAGGTATAGATGTACATGCAATGATTATTTCTGATTTTTTTTTTATTAATATTCTATCAAGTGGTATGTGATAGATTTTTGTAACAGACAAACACAGTTGACTCCAACACTTAATTTAAAAAAAAGAAGAAAAGTTCTGACTCAGTCAGTAACATTTGAAGTACGTGTTGTCAATTATTCTCAGCTACAACAAAAATAAACCTTAGAATAATTATTGTAAAACTGACTGAATCATAGCCATTTTGTTTGCCATACTGAAGTGGAATGGCTCCAAAACGTATTCAGTTGATGATATAGCCGACGACTATTTCCTGTCATCCTGTGTTTGTTTGTTTGTTTCTCCTTCTTGTCCTCTCAAACTCCAGCTGGTGGAAGCAGATGGAAGAAGATGGTCTCTCATCATGAGCCAAGTTCTGTTGGAGGTTTCTTCTTGTTTAAAGGAAGTTTTTCCTTTCCACTGTTGCCAATATGCTTGTTCAGGATGGGAGACTATGACAAAGTGAAGATTCAACCCAACCTGCTGGCTTCCTTAGATAACTTTTACTAATTGGTTTTTATAATGTATGTGTAAGTTTTTGTACAGTGCCCTGAGACAACTTCTGTTGTGACTTGGCACTATATAAATAAACTGAATTGAATTGAAAGTTTCTTTAAAATACGTGCTAATTTATGTTCATGGGATCTTTTGCAAACTTACAGACACACAAACATATGATCACACACATTTACAGACAGAGGCATAAAACTGCAGTCAATAAAAAACTTTCATTTTTATGGGTACTGGTATACCCTCTAGTCTCCAAATCTTTAATAGCCAAAATATAAACATAAAAGTAAAAACATAACCAAAAATGTTGAGTGAATAGTTGTGGCTCACTATGTGACGGCTTCATGACCTGTACATGCTCGCTTTTCATCACTTCTCTGTTCTTCACAGGCTTTAATCTACAACTTCAGTCAATGTACACTGAACACTGTATACACCACTTTAATCCTGGTTTTTGCATGTTTTAGCCTCTCTTGCAGTGTTTGGGGTTCTGTTTATCTGTCTTGCTGGAAGCATTTCACCCTGGTACACTGCAGCCATAGTATCTGATGCCCAGCCTTTTCCAGTGACTGGTCAGGGGCTCAGTAAAGTACACTCCAAAATCACTCTTGAGCATAAGCAAACCAAAACAAGATGGAGGTAGACATTTGGAAATAAACCATTTCCATCACAATGAAATGAACTGCTGTGGCTTTGCAGCTATCATTTTACATTACCTACAGTATATGCAATGCACTTAAGAGCAAATGAAATAATAAAAATAAATTCTACTGGCATGCACATATGCATCTGGGGATTTTACTTTTCTAATCCACGCCTCATATATTTCACACAGTGGGAGGAAATCCGAGAAAACCAAGTCTATCAAATTCAAACTGTCTTGCACTGAAGAGACAAAAATATCCACTCACAGCACTTCATTATGATAGGCTTGATAACAAGACACGAAATAATATAAAATAACTAAATCTAACTTCTATTTGTGCACAACTTTCTCTCTATCTTCGGCTTTATATTTTACTTTCAACTACCATGCCATCTTCCGTCTTCGCTTTCTGGCTTCAGTGAATTCCAGTGGTGCTCGGCTGTCATCCCAGCTCAGCCCTTCGCTCTGATTGTTGGTAAAACAGACCTAAAAAAAAAATCCCACTAAAAAAAGGAATGCTGAGGCAGAGATAGAAAAACTCACTCTGCCGCCAGCTGAGGTGGCAAAACAAGAAATAAGCTGACAATTAGAGATTCTGTGAGCAAAAGTGCATAACGCTTGGACAAGCACACACGACTGCGGACAGAAAAACTAACTGGATGTGAGCAACATAAAAAAAAAAAAAAAAAAGCAAACGCTATTAACAAGAGGATACGTGTCGACCGTGCTTAACAGATGTGTGCTCACACTTTGCTTTCAGAGTGTTTCTTACCGGTGCAGTGAGTTCAGGGATAGCAGCGCGATAAGTTAGGGGCGTGCAGTCGTGCGTATTGTTCACCAAAACACAAGGCAGAAACATAGGACCCAGGTCATCTCCATCTAGGACGTCCACAGTCAGCGTTGCTGTGGCTGACCTTCTGTTGGGAGGGTATGGAGCACGATCCTGAAAGAGAAACAAGCTCCGGGAATGTAGAATAGAATATACTTTATTGTCCCCTTGGGGAATTTTGTCATGCTCTCAGGGGTGTATATTGCATAGTAGCAGCTGCCCAAACAGACAATAAATACACATACAATTCATATAAATGGCAAAAAAAAAAAAAAAAATCACGACAGTTTAAAAGACAACAGCAGAGAACACCAAAGTTCTTGCACACTTTCCAGGCCTCAACATATTATCTATTTAAAATTTTGATTCAAAATTTTGATGGAGGTGGAAACAAAAGAATATTTAAAACGATTAAATTTAGTTTTGGGGATTCTGTACCTTCTACCGAAAGGCAAGAGCTCATATTCCACATACAGGATGTGGGACGGATCAAACAATACCCTCCGCGCCTGCCTGCCATGACTGCTAATAGATGGACTGCAGGGAGAGCTCTTGGGTCCTCCCCAACACCTTCATAGCAGTCTGTAATAGGCGCTGCAACTTAGATTTGTACTGAGTGGAGAGACCATGCTGTCATCCCATACCTGATATCACTCTCCATCGCTGCCTGGTAAAATAAAAACATGAAGTTCTGAATGACACCAAACATCTTCAGTCTATGAAGAACAAACAGCCTTTGCTTTTACCGGCAATTGTATCCAAATGTAGTCTTCAATGTGCAAAGGTTTTGCTGCTCTGTGCATTGGCACAATGTACTGCTCAAACTTAACTAAGTTTTTAACCTGGTACAACTTTCACAGACCCATACAGATATTTTTATTCACAAAATTGTAGTTCGAGTGTAAACCAGATGTGGATTTGAAGATTAATGTCATGTCATAGCCCGTCAACTATTTGATCAAAACATATTTTATTATTAAAGCCTACAAATATTTTAAAGAAAGTTTTAAAAAGCTGTTAGATGTCTATTACGTGTAATATTTTGCTGCATGATACAATTACTCACACTCATTTTGACATGTTTGACTGATGTTACTATATAAACAATATCTAAAAAAAAATTCAATCTGGTCCTCTGGACATTCAAAAAACAAAACAAAAAATTGTAGAAACGTTTCGTCTTTCATCCAAAAGACTTCCTCAGTCTGAGGTGCTGTATTCAGCTCAGTCTCTTAAATAGCACCTTCTCAGAGTGGATCAACCCGTTTTGCTGCTGACAACCAAAACCAGCTGCTCATATGATCAAGAAGAAGGACCATCAGCCTAACAATGGATCATTAGCACACTGATGGCTGTTTACTATTCACAGGGGGTTTGAGTGATACTAGCAATAACAGCATTGCAAGAGGGGGACAGTTAAACCTGGAGGCCTCCACCCCTGTTTAATGATGGACGATTTATTTTCACAAAGATGGCCTCCTTTACTCCTCTCTCAAACCATCGTTCCTCTCTGTCCAGGATGTGCACATCTTCATCCCTGAAAGAGTGACCGCTGGCCTGGAGATGAGTGTAGACCGCAGAGTCCTGGCCTGATGATGTTGATCTTCGGTGCTGGGCCATCCTTTTGGCCAGTGGCTGTTTTGTTTCCCCGATGTAAGACTGATCACAGCCCTCCTGACACTGAACAGCATACACAACATTACTCTGTTTGTGCCGGGGGACTGGATCTTTGGGATGAACCAGTCTTTGCCGTAATGTATTTTGGGGTTTAAAAGCCACTGGGACGTTCACTCTGAGAAGGTGCTATTTATAAGACTGAGCTGAATACAGCACCTCAGACTGAGGAAATCTTTCGGATGAAAGACAAAACGTTTCTACTTTTTTTTTGTTTTGTCTTTTGAATGTCCAGAGGACCAGATTTAACTTTTTTTAGATTTTTCTACCTGGATAATTGAGCATGCATCAGGCTATATAAACAAAAGGTCTAACGCAATACAAGTTGAAAGGTTAAAGGAAAAAAATGAACAAAGATAAAAAAAGAAAATCTAATTTTCACATTTCTTTCATATGAATTGTTACATATATTGGAACTTGAGAGCAAAACTGATGATCTTTCCAGGTCAAATGATGATACCAGATATCAAGAAAAGAGCTGAATGACTAATTGTAGATCAGATGCTAAGCTTACGGGTCTAGCAGATGTTTAAATGTTTGTTGCTTGTCTTTAAATGTTGAGCTTGTCTTTGCGTCTTTCCTCTGCCCTTCTTTCTTTTCCAATATTTACTCTTGACAATTGTCAAATTTATTTTTTCTCTGTTATTTTGCGTTTAGCTGCATATTAGCTCTTGCATTTCTACCAAATGCCTTCTCCAAGACTACGCTCGTTTGATTTCACTATATTTTTTTAATTACACAAAATACAGTCAGCTTAACTCTTATTAGTCACATGACATGAGCTTCTCCATGGTTTTCAACAGGTTCAGCCATGTGTTTAGTTTACATAGTGCGTTAACCCACATTTCAAAAATGCATTCAGTAAATCTGGAAAACTCCTGGAGGAAACTCTGAAAGTGCACCATTTTGTATAGTTAGTTTTATATATTACTTTTTTTATGCTTGGTTTCATATTTTGCAGTGAGTACCAACAAATCAACAATATCCCTTATTAAACCGGTTCATTAAAACAATATTCAGAGCAGAAGACCATTCATAGAATCATTTTTAAGAAACATTTTCTGCTGGTGTTTCTGGTTTCCAGTTTGATATCCAGAGAAGTGATCCACAAAACACTTTAAGGATTTGCATTCTCATTTAAATGAACTCTTAACACAAACAGTAAACAAGGCTAAGACATCATGTCTTTAATTTTAGGACCACATGCATGCTTTTAACATTTTAGTCTGCTATAGTATGCTGGCAAAAAAGAGACATTGGAAGATGCTTGCCTACAAAATGATTTTATCATTTATCTTGATTGTATCTTGGGTAACTGCCTAGTCTGTATAAAAAAAAGAGGGCTAGAAAGTTAGAGGAGTATGTAATAAGTCATCCAGCTTCCCTCAGAAGTCAGATATGAGATAATGTCACATCCAACTTCATATTGTTTCAATTGAAAGTTGTAAACCGAAAATGTTTTGCTCAATAATAGGTCTGACCATGTTATCTATATTTATTATTACAAGCGGATAAAGTGTTAAATTGTTAAATTATTATTATTTATTATTTTTGTACATACAAACACCTTAGGAAAATTACCCTATGTGCCAAGTGTGACAGAAGTGCAGACATATACTTTACAACAACTGTCTCCCCTTTTTTATGCTCTGGGCAGCCATGTTGGATTTTAAAATCAAAGCTAGTGATGTTCCTTATGCATTGGCTCCTCTTTGTCAACATATATTTATTTTATACAATCTAGCTGAGGGCTATGGCAAATGTGAAAGCATAAAATGCTCTCATTAAACAGCACACTGTCCTAATGGCATTATTACAATTACATTTGCAGTATTTTTCTCAGTCATCCAGTCCACTGGAAGTATGAAGGAAATTGCCTTCCCTCAAGTAAATCCATAATCAAATAAACTCTGAAACGCAAAGCTGCTTTGGTACACAGACTTTTAATCTCAAAACATGCCAAAGAGAGCAGATATCAAAAGTAGATTTCAATAAAATCTAAGTTGCTGCTTGTAAAATGTTCTGAATTCATTTTGATGAATCTGGGGATACAATTTGCAACTTTTATTTGACATTATTAGTATTTCAAAGCGTTGCCTTGGATATATGAAAATGAAAACATGCCTTAATATATGTTGATAATAATTTAAATAAAATATGATTTTGCCTTAAATATACACACAAAAATATGAATCAAATTTTAATATTAAAATTATTCAATTATTTTCTGTTCAAAACTCCTAAATGAATAATTAAAATAGCATCTATGCAACTTTAGATGTTTAATTCAGAACAATGACAGTATTCTAGCCTGAAGGCAAGTAAAAATCACTGTTTATAAAAGAGTTACTGCAGAACTTCTGCCCTTTAGATGTGTTAAAAAAAATAATTGTGAATGTTGCGTAACTTACACTAGCTTGAACCAACACCAGGTAGCGAGTTTTGTCTTCATAATTTAGTCTCTCTGCCAGTAAAATGTATCCTGAAAGGGTGTTTCCAACCCTCACTGTCCCGTTAGATGTCTAAAGATAAAAGAAAATAAAATGTGCAGTTATAAGTCATGACAGCTGAAGAAATTTACAATAGTGTAAAGCGTATTTATTAAGGTGCCACTTGTCCATTTACCGGATCATTGGGGTTATAAAGGATGCTGTATTCTATCTGTCCATTGGGCCCATCATCAATGTCTGTAGCACCATTATCTCCTGAGAAGCCAGTGAAAATGGTTGTTCCAACTGGCGTGAGCTGGGGAACAATATGAGTGGAGATAAATAAATACATAAAAAAGTCAACAACTCTAATAGCCCTCCTGTGAGTGCAACATCAACCTACAGCAGGGAGTTCTTTCATACAAATGGTGCAATTGCCAGTGTACCCCATTAATACAAAAAAACGTTTAAAAAAAAAAAGGGAAATATGTTGTTGTCAGCAGTCTAAAGGCTTTCGTGCAACACTGTCAGAATAACAAAAACTAAGTATGAAAACCACTGCTGTTCCCCAGAGGCCTGAACAAAGTCCACAGGACCAGGCAGCAGGCAGGAAATTGTGTTCAGGGGAGTTGACAGCATTGTAGAATGATTCACTGTACTGCTGGGGAAGATGCAGATGGCTATGTTAACAAATTCTGACAGGAATTTTGAAAATGGAATGCCTCCCATCCCCAAATAATAAAACTGTATACAATGAAGACCAAACCACTCACAAACATATGCCTATTTAATATAAGCCCAAGATTAACTATCACTGTGTTCTATCAGTTGGTCAAAATGTAGGGTTATGCAATTAATCAAAAGTTTATTATTATCATAGCATCATTGTGCGCATTATCCTTACCTCAAAAGGATGCATGGACTGCAATAAATTATGCCAATGACATTTTGGCCAATCCAATGGACTATCAATGTCCTTACTCTCAGTTTGGTTGACAGAAGCTGAGAGGCTAAAGTACATGGGGGTGTTGTGAGCATTACAATAAGAAAATAAAATGAAAATAAATAAAACAAACAAGAAAAAAGTGTGTTTAATGTAATTAATATTATTGCAATATGCATCAACAGCATTACAATAGCCAATTATTCTAATAAAGTGTAGCCTTACCACATTTCAAATATTTACTTTATGAGACAAAAACATTTAAGTGTAATTGTTACCCAATTTTCAAAGCTTGTATTAACCATTAGCAGTTAACATGAAAATGACCATGTGAAAACATCAATTTAAAGGAAAAGTCTGGTCATTTTTTAAGTGATCTTCTTTCAAATAGTTATTAATTGTACTTTATCAACTGTGACATCAGTCGCAAAGCATAGAATATACAGAAAAGTGAAGATCTGATTCCTCCAGGCTAAGCTAATCGCTAGTTAAACAAAGACCTGTTTTATAACGTTTTGTTAAGGTTTATAAAATACAAAGTACATATTTATCAAATATATTTTTACTTGTGAAAAATGATACATTAACTTGTATTAAACTTCTAGACTTTTGCATAATACTGTGTTTGATTAGTTAGCAACTTATTTTCTCTCAAACAAACAACATCCGTCAGACAGACCGATACCTTCAGGTGTCTCAGCACCACCAACTATAGTTGGTTAAAACAAGAATGTATCTTGCTACTTTGCTTTAATGCATTCTGCCCAAGTAGACAATGTGATACATGGGCTGGAAAGAAAACGTGTGTAAATATGTCCAACCAACAAACAAAGCACATCATATACATAAATATAGCCTAATATTGTCATCTGTACCCAGATGCTGTTAGAAACCCTACAGAAATGGCAAAAGAGATACTTCAATACCTCGTTTATTGCAACGTAATAGCGTGGCTGCTGAAACTTTGGGGTGTTGTCATTCTTGTCCCTCACAACAATTCGCACTTCATGCAAAATGACTGTACCAATCAACTCATTGGTGCACTGGACCTGGACCACAATGGAGGTGATGGAGTTTGGAGGCTAAAAGACAGCAAAATACATGTTAATAGTTTTATGCTACTTATTGTTCTCACTTCCTGGAAAACAGGTTAACTGGGTCATGATAAATATTCTATCATCCGAATCTTACAATTTCTAAAGCACAACTGCATCGCTCACTGACAAAATGACAAAGGCAGAGTTCCACAATTTCACTAATCAATGCTCTCTACAACAGTAATAATAATAATAAGTGAATAATAGCAATAGGAAAAAAAAAGGAAATATTGATTGAAACACATCAAATTAATCTGAGCAGGCATTTTTACAAGTGCTTTGTGTTAAAATGATGCTATATTCAAATGCTAGAAGCAGTGGACATTGCCAGCAAGACATCACGTAAATTTATCCACAAGGGTGAACTTCCCTTTTAATTGCAGTAGCTTGCTAATCTCCTACCCTCAACTGTTTCTGCTTCTTCTCTGAAGCGATTTGCTCTATCAATATTTCTGAGCATTCTCATCAATAGCCCAACATAAAGTCCACCTCACTGCACTTAGTCCATTTAATCGTTCCACATTTTTTTAAATGGCTTCTAATGTGCTAACTACTTTGGACCAGAACTATATATCTCATGCGCTTTACTGTACAATTGAGGCTGTTTTGTATGCACAGCAGTTTTTTTGTCGAGTCAAATATTAATTATTGTGAACAGATATAGGCAACCACACAAGTAACTGTATTAAATTATTTACTACCAGTAATCAACTGTGCTTTTACTATTATTATTATGATGATATAGTGGCTTGAAATACAAGTAATTAGCCCACATTTTGCTACATCTCAAGTATCTTGTAATTATTTGTCGCTATAAAAAGACACATATTTCAACCATATTCACTGAAAACATAAACATTGTTTGTCACTACTTTCCTACTTACATCTCTGTCCAGAACGCGTCCAGTGCTATTCAGGTAAAGTCTTTGTCGCGCAGGTTCCAGGATCACCCAATAGTCATAGTTGTCAAGCAGAGTCAAGGAGATGGTTCTGCCTGGATCTTGAGCACGGCCATTAATCTGCATGTTTTCCACCAAAACCGTTCCTGTAAAGAGAAAGATTTTTAATTAATAGATGAAATTGTTGACAAAATATATTGTTTTCATTTTTTTTCTGTTTAGTTTTTCTACAAAATGAGTTTGTCAGAGGCAGCACAGTGGCATAGTTTGTAGCGTTGCTGACTCTTAGCGATCAGGTTGCCCTGGTTCAAATTTCGGTCCAGGGGCCTTTTTGGGTGGAGTTTGCATGTTCTCTCTGTGCATGCATGGGTTATCTCTGGGTACTCCGTTTCCTCCCACAGACCAAAAACATGCATGCTAGGCTGATAGGTAACTCTAAAATTTTCCCTAGGTGAGCGTAAGAGACTGAATGGTTGTTTGTCTCGTTTGTTTCTATGTGGCCCTGTGATGGACTTGCGACCTGTCCAGGGTGTCCCCACCTCTTGCACAGTGATGGCTGGACATGTGTAGTGAACTCAGCATCCGACCAAAACCTGCCTCTGAGGACCTTCATGGGACAGGAACTGTTATTTCATTGATTTGAATCCAGAAATACAAATTAGCTCATCCAGAGACTGTCTAATTGTATCCTGAACTAATCAATTGAAAGAACACTCTTCTTTTATATTATCATTACTATTTTACAATATCTTGATAAATCTAAAGTGTGTTTGGTTCATACCATTTCTAAATGTTGAAGTGAACCACGCATTTTAAATCAACTGTGAAACAGTATTAATGTTTTTTTAATCCTCAGTTAAATTAGAAATCAAGTTAAATGTCTATTTACAAAGTAATTATGCATGTTGATCTTCTGTCTGAAATGAGAAGTAGTGATGGCAGTCGAAAGTCAGAAAGAAGTTATTAGAACGAAGTGGATTGTTTTTAAACCTAGCAGACGGTAAATAAGAAGCTACTGGCATCTGCTTCCTCCCAGTTCGCCATAACATGTCTTCTGTCTGTACGGGACGTTTCTAAAACTTTCCTGCTGTTTTCTTGACTTGTAATGACCCTCTGACGTCACTAGAACCACCCCCTGTTGGTTGTTTCAACCAATCAGGAAGTCCTGAAGTGACCGGAAGTGAGAACTCTTTAAGAGTCCACACTTCCTGGAACTTCTCAGTCTCAGTCTTCAGTCTTCTAGAGTCTTTGACCGGAGTCTTCCTGGGGTCTTCTTCAGTCTTTCATGAGTCCTCCACTTCTGAGTGGAATCTCTGACTGAAGTATTCCTGAGAGTTCCTAAGGAACTTTCAGATTTAATCAATAGCTGATGGATTTGACCGTGAGACGAGGGTCCGTCCATCCCAGCTGGAGTCACAGCGCTTCGCTGTGAACTCACCCGGGCGTAACGCCCTATAACTTTTAAAGAAGCTTATTCTGTTGAACGGAGTACCGTCACTACTTCGGACGATTCTCAGCCATCCTGACCAGAGACGATGAAAGGTAGCGTTGAACTGGATCTCTGTACCGGAGCTGACCTATCTTCTGCAAAGGTAACGAGTCGCCATGCACCGAGTGTACCGGGGCTGAGCTGGGGTCGGATGAAGGGTGCCATTCCTAGTCAACACACTTTCCCTGATCCATCTTTTCTCTCCATTTAAACTCTTTCATTTCCCATCTTTAAACTCTTCTATTTTGCCAGTAATTAATCTAGATGCCTTCAGAAATGTCTGTTGTTTTTATTAAGTAAAACGTGCCAAGTTTTATTAATCAGAACCAGATCAGCTAATCACTTGTACATTTTGATGTTAAATTTTGATCCTGTTAAATAAATGACCACATTTATTCTGATGGGTCAAAGAAAATTAACGTCTCAGTGTCACTAATTAAACAATCTACGCACAGTTACCTCGGTCACATGGCAGTAATTTAGCTTGAAAATGATAGAACCCGTTATTTAAATATATTGTAGTCAAGGGCAGCTAACTTAGCCCTTAGCACGCTACAACATGGGTGTCAGTTACCCCGCAACTCGAAAAGGAAGGAGTGGGTAAAGATACTGGATAGATGGATGGATGGAGTTTGTCAGAAATAACACCTTATCAAATTACTTTTAAAGGTTTTACAAAGCCCCAACGAAAAACAAGTGATCGAAAAGTTTCACATTTTCAAACAACCAGATAAAATATTTTTTTCAGCATCAGTATGTGGTATATATATATATATATATATATATACATA